AATAAAGATAACAGTTCGTTGGGTGTTGCAGCTTACGCCTAAGTAGGCGAAGATGACGATATGTTATCACAAAAATCTTTGAGGTTTGCTTTCCTTTGTGAAATTTGCTAAAAAAGAGTGGTTTCTAATCTTGAAACTTTTCTCCTGGTAAGGTAATGTAAGGGGTTACACCCAAAGTTGCCGCTGCTGGTCAAACAACAGTCTTATAAATGTGTACTCGGCCCGGGACAGTTGGCCGTTTGTCATGATTACGCCTCCAGATTTGTTGCTCAGCTTCTTTCATTTGAAGTCAAAAAGCGGAGAGATATCGTCGCCTCTCATTACACAGCAGTTGCTCCCAAAGTTTTAGAGTCAACACCAAGTTTCCTGGAAAAGTCTACTACTTACAGAGTCACAGCGTTTGACAAATGTCGAAATTGTTTACGGCCTGTGGATTGTCAACAACATTATCTCTTGTTTGCATCAGTTTCACACCTGTTTTCAGGTTAATATCCTCCTGAATGTTTGCCTTGCATGACTATGGTGTATATCAGAAGATGATCCTAGGCACCCTGTGGAGACGATTGTTACAGGTAAACATGGCTCGCTTTCACCGGACAAATAAAACCATTCTCTGAGGTTTATCATGGCCAATAACCATCCTTTGTATTTCGGGTACATTGTTTCTACTTTTCCAGCTTGTTACACGTGGGTGTATCAAGCTCTCATGTTGCAACTGTTACAAAACAAATTTGCCCAAAACACCGGAAAGTTGTCTGGATAGATAATTTCTGATAAAATCGATTTTTGATGTATATAGGCTTTGCCTGGCTAAAACTAAATTACAGCTATTTGACTGTTAACTGATTAGCGGCGTAGTGTCACAAGTGTATGCCCTAAAAATATTTCATGTAATTAGCGAAATAAACTCATTTGGGGTTTTTGAGAGACTCACCTGGAACCCAGATGAATCTTTTGTTTGTGATGTTTCCCGTCGTGGGTTGTCGAAGAATTTCTAACAGCCTTATGAATAGTGCACTACGTACATTTCGTGTAAGTTTACAGCACAGATCAGGCTTGTTTAATCAGTTTGGTGAGTTAAAGTATATACGAGTGAGGCGTCTGCGGTGTCTGGCGTCAGACGAAGAACACATGAACTCCAGCGATGTGCAAACAGGATCAAACCCCCAAAACAGGGCGAAACCCGTCGTGGGCGGTCGACGGATTTTCAACAACCTTATTAGTAGTACATTACAAAGATATACGTATCAAATTCACTTGCGAAATGAAGGGATATCCGGTAGGTAGATATTTAGTTAAGGGTTTATGTGTACACAAAACTGGGTCTACCTTCCAGATTCACCGTATAATACCGTATGAGTAAATGCGTAGTTGTACAAGTCTATTCATTGGATGTGCCGTGGATGTCGCGCAAATTCAGAAACATCAAGGTTTGCATTTTGCGGATTGTGTAGATTCGCTTCTCAAAGGGAACCACAGTTTCAATCCATTGTAGGTATGCACCCGGGAAATGCAATATTTCTTATGTAGAAAAGGCGTTCTTACTGTCAGAAATTACTTTTTCTAATAGGTTTGTCTTCAGTTCGGAATAATCTTCAATGCATCTTCCTTTTTAGTATTTTTGTCGCGGTTTTTGGGTTGTTCTCATGAAATTAAATTAGACTGTTACAAAGGGTACGCAAAATACTTTCATTCTTTGTTTGAAGCCAGGACGTGAACGTAACAGGGCCCTGCTGGCTGGTGTTTATGTCAAAACGTCACGCCCCGAGCCCAGTATTAAACGGACAATTGCTTCGTTTACGCCTATTAAATTTGCATAAAGGTGGTATTTTTTCCAGCTTAACAATTTCATTGAAATCCTCCGCAAAGCCTATTACTTTTAGATAGTTTTGAAACTCGCGGGAATTTTGAACTGGCGACTAGTAATAAGTAGTACCTAGAACCCTTATAAGTTCTAATCCCCTTCAGGATGCTCTGGAGGGACCTGACGGTGATCAAAACATAGACTTGGATATTTTAGGAACAGGATGGTTTCATCAAGGAAAGGCAAACACTTAACATCGGAGCGCATGGTCAACTGTGACCCATTACCTCAGCAATTAGACCTTATAATGTCGTCTTGGCGAGTTCCCAGTAGGATAGCGCTCACAGTTATTTACGATAGCGGGTAATTTACTCCTTCTTCTATCAATTAAACATCTTCAAATGACGTCCTGCTTGGGATCAGCAATAATGCCGGAACTTCTGGTTCCTCAGTAGCAGTCCAGGTCTTATCACACGTTGTTGTATGTGCTAATTAAGCACATTTAATCAGAATTCTATTCTTACAGCTCCTCCCTCTTGTGCTGAAGGGAATGATTAAAGTAATATAGGATTTTCTCATGTATTGTTTCGTATCGAAATAAGCTATTTGTAATTTTCGGGAAATACACTCATTTGCGAATCAATTTGGTTCTCAGGAGAGACTCATCTCTCGTTTATAATATTCTGAGCCCCAAGAAGGTCGAAACCAGTCGTGGGCTGTCGAAGAGTTTTCAGCAACCTTGTGAGTAGCTTCCTTTATTTGTAGTTTTATTATCTCAGATGCCATCGCATTTTAACATTCGAGTCTGGGTTTTATTCTGGTTAAATGTTTTACATGTGCATTGTTCCATGTTTAGTAAATGTTTCCTATGATCAGCACCATCTTTCAACTCTTTTGCAAAACAATCGATTTGTCAATCAATAAATCGTACTTTGAAAAATTGCCCAGTAGGATTAAGATTAGTCCTCCGTTTACAGTTCCACAGGTTTTACCGAACCTAGAAGAAGCACTCAAATATTCTTATACGATTATCCCACCCATTCCTCATGAGTTATAAGGTTTCAGACACTGCTGATTCTGACGGTATAACAATTTGTTCCAGTTAGCGACGCCAGAAACTATCAAAACGTATTGTCCTACAGTTTTTATTGCGCCATTTTTGACATTCGAGCGCTAACCTGTCAAGTGGCAACAGGCTGTGTTCCCCATCTATTGTGATGAATTTGTTCCTACTGCATCCACCCCATGAACATTTTTCGATAAATCGGTTCATCCTCCCATACTGTCACGTTTGCCGTTTCAGATCATCGACCTTTGAATTACGTAGAGGTTTTCAATGCATCCTCAGCCAGTAATACAACTATCTATGTGGGTGGCATAACCAGCGGTCTAACAGGTGGGTCAGTTCCCTTCAATGAGTTGTGAACTTTGTAATGCGCTTGTGATCAAAAGCAACCTTGCCTCAGCTAACTACAGTTTGAGACAGTATGTCAACAAATAATGCCAAGAAGGTGACATAAATGGCTGTAGTTTGCTTCGTCTATTTGCCACATATTTTTACATGTTCACTAATTTTGAAGAGGATGGTAGCAATTCAAACAAATTTCAAAAACAATCTAGTATGAAGTAGGTTGTTAATCCGCCATTCCTTGATAACCAAATTTCATGGCTGATTTCACAAGTTCTTCTCATCATTCATTTGATCACATGTGGTGTGGCCCGTTTTGAGGTCAAAGAAAACGTGGCTACCTAAATTCAGTAACAATATACTGCCTGTGTCCTGTTTCCTAAGTGTTCGTTTTGTTTAACGGGATAGGAGAGAACAAACCTCTTGTGGTGGTAAGTTCTGTGATGATATGTACACATCCAAATAATAAATATCAAGACATTATGACAAAAATTAATGGGTTGCGGTAACGCTACTCAGATCCTGTATTGTGAGCTTGTATGGGACTGAAACATTTGCTGCTAAACAAGGAACTACAATGTACTACCAAGCAAACAGTGCTAAGTCTGGCGATTGTTTTCTTCTTTAAAGGCCTAAGGAACATGGGAAAGCGTCTAAGTGATGCAGCGAACTGTTTAGCGACCCGAAGAACATGATTTAATTTGGGCAGAATTTACACTATATTAAGCCGAATGACAGAGTAGATATTACAGCAGGTATGGAATGCAGTCAGTACAAACAAAATTCGTTTTCCTCATCTGAGTTGAACAAAAATAGAATGCTTTTAGGCTGGACTTAATCAGACACCGAATCACAGACAGGTTGATGGTTGGTGGGATCATACAGCATTGCTCTTTTAACTCAAACGAGTCTGCCAGATAAACAATATCCTGTTAATACAGCCCCTCATTAGCATGGCTATTTTGCAGTAGACTACACTTAGCACACAATGGATCCCAGTGGGTCGCATGTGAGCTGCACTTAGCAGCACCTGTGCATGATGGTAAAATACTTCACCATGAATCCAACCAATCCCGGTCGGGGAAGAGCATAACACTTGATGAATCTGTTGCACAGGTTAGCATCAAAAATGCAGCAACTTTTGCTGATCATGGGAAAAACGATTAAAATATTTTCAAGGTACCACGAGACATTGCTTGCATTTTTGATGCTGTTAAGCAAGCTATACACTTGACGAAGACTAACACTGCAGTGGAAACGGTCACCACACATTTGATTGGATGACCTTTTGCAGTTGCTTTCAGGTCAAGAGTGCTACGTCACTTAGCAAGTCTTTCGAATTCGTCTAAAAGCTAAACCTGAGCGAACCACATCATTTTTCCGTAAATTTATTGTTTCATCGTAAACAGTGTCTTTAGAACCTGTCATGTTCCTTCTAAAGTTGTTGTCAAATAATTCACAATCTAACCTGAAAGCTGTATAGTTTCCACTCAAAATTTACAAATTTCACCAAAGTGGACCTTTAAGTACGGCGATCCCTCACCTGTGTCCCCTCTGAATAAATAACCCGTAATGTACTCGGATACCCTATGAATATAGGCACCTGATAGCTGTGAAGCTGAAATTTTAGGATCCTCATATAAATAAATGAATAAATCACTTGGAAAATCTGGCACCACTTTGTTTGGTAACTCACCGTGATGAACATTGGTAAAACACCCATTTATTCTCATGGCGTTTCTTTAAATATTTGTAGAATTGCTATTGCAAAACGCATTCCAGGAATTTGGTGAAATAAAAGAAATTCGCATTTTTAAAGAAAAAGGATTTTCATTTATTCGGTGAGTCGTAGTGTAACGATTTTTTGTTTCTTTTTTCAAATGTAACCATATAATTTTCTCATTCCAAGGGCGACAGGCGCCGATTTGTCAGTGTTTTGCTCTACCGTTTTGACGTTGTTTTATCTTTGTAATAGGCATGGTGATCAAACGCAAATGAACCAGGAAGATACAACTAAGAATATTGTACTGATATGATAGTTGATCATGGTTAGTAAAGAAATGAGTGAGTATAAAAATGCAGGTAAGACTAAAATACACTATGCCTAAGCGTATTTCACGTGCATCAACTGGATTACGGTAAGTTGGCATGGTATGCGGTTAAGCAATCAATTAGTAGAGGCTGCATGGAGGGCTTACGGGTTGAAAAGACTAAAACCCGGCCTCAGTTTTTGTCTTCCGTTCGACGTACAGGTTGTTCAAGGTTGTCCTTTGGTGGTCAGAGTAGTTTCGCATAGAAAATCAGTTTAGCATTTTTTCGGTGAAACCACCACCCCCCCCCCCCCACAAATAATTACATCGAGCTACCTTCTATAACGTGATAAATAGCAACATTTTCCTTGAGAGTCCAGTTCGTGACTCATTTTTACAGAATACCTGGTTAACAAGATGGCCAACAAAATTCACTTCCCATACTCACACCATAACCAATTCATCAAGCAACTTGATCTGGACTAAGGAACGTTTAAAACCAGTAGACCAGCATGTCCGATCTCTAGTGACAAGTAGTTGAGCCTCATGTGAAACATTTTGCCGGTGTATAACGATTGCGTTCTTTACCTAGAAACTTCGACAAAGGCGCTGATTAAGGCTCGTAATATTCATTTAGCACGTGCTTCTCGTGTTAATTTTACTTCTCAAACGGTGTTAAAGAAAGCGATCAAAAACCAGAAAACCGTGTGCTGATGTGCTGATATACCGCGATGCAGTATGGGTTGATTGCCAGCACATGATGGTTGGTTCCTGTGGTGAGCCACACTAAGCTGACTATTAGCCTGATCTGTCCCAGTCTCAGGATTGCTAGCTGGTGTTTTAGCTGTGATAACACCACACGTAGCTGAAAACATTCAAGTTCATTTCGTACTTCCATAGAGCCAAAGTGAAATTCTCCCCCAGAACCAACGAGGATATTTGTACGACTGAATAAACAGGCACTGTGCTTCCGGTCATTTGGAAAAAATCAATTTCTTGAATATTGGTAATTATGTGGTTATTGTGGCAATTGGGTGGCGTAGTCGCAAGTATCGGTAACGAACAATGAAACAACATGCATAGTAGAGTTCAGCTTCATTCGACTGCATAACACTTCAATTCAGCACACCTTGGTGTTGTTATCACACCCCATCCAGTGATCCATTTCAAGTTATGACATGAGTTCGCCAGTGCAGCTACGTGCAGCATCCGGTTGCAGAGCGGTTAGACAGACAGGAGCTACAACACCAAACGACGTGTGGTTCTCTCCGACTTTGCAGACAAAATTCTCCGTAAAAGGTACAAACCTACAGATTATTCCCAATTCTATTTAAGGAGTTCAATTTTTCCAAGTGATAACATGTGCAGAATCGGGCCTTGAATGTATTGTGTTCACATGGAAAATATTTTAAAAAGATGGCCAATATGTTAGGACAGAAATGTATTTTATATTCATTAACTTACAGAAGACTTGATCCTGTGCAAAAGTTGTGGTATTATTGGATATGTAGACCTCCAGTAATTCAGTAGTCCGAAAATGACGCAACGAGTGGAGCTGAAATGTCGAGCTCAATCAAGTTCAAATCCACATGGAATTTCATAACGCGCACCTGTTCATACACAGCCCGACAAGTCCAACTAAATATCTGTGCGCGATGCGAATGATGACGCCAAAAGTATCTTAAAACGTTGGCCATTTTTAGGGTTTATGATCCAAGGAACTTATTGACCCGCAAAACCCTCTCGTGCAGCTGGCCTTTTGCGAGATCTTTGCAGTTTTTCCAACAGTGCATCTAGTAACTGCACCTAGTCAAACCGCCCTAAGTAGTTAAAATCTTGTGAAATACTTACATCCACAAAGGTACGGGCCTGTTGCTGTTTTTGATATCTCTACACAGCAAGGTTCCCATATATAGAGGAGAAACTTGTTAGATCTGACGTCTTCTTATACTTCCTGGATAGATTACTTCCAAGAATGTGATAGTGCTATGCTCACATTTGGCGATAAAAGAGTGAGGTTGGAACAGGGTGGTGAGTGTAAAAAACAATAAGCCATGTTTAATAAAATCCACATAGTTTTACAGGGAAGTTTTGGTCAGATTTTGATCACTTCAGGCTTCCACCGTGTAAGCGTATACACATCAGATTTTCAGATGCGATTTTTTGTGTGAGGTTTTTTCGTGAATCAATTTGAAACTGGAGCCCCACGGAATCAGCCTCCAAATGTAGCACTTGTCCAATTGTTTACTGATGGGTTATCACCTTTTTTAGGCTTATTGAACCCCCCAGGTTTGTTTCTCGAAATGCCCTTCTGAAAATCAGTCAAACTAAAGAATCTTCTTGATGAAATAAGTTCATTTACAAGCCAATTTGATGTCAAAAAGGGATGGCCTAAAGTATTTTTTATGTATTTCTTTGCCAGTGGTGCTGCTACACTTTTTAAAAAAATTGAGATGAGATTAAGGAAACCAGGGTGCATTTTCTTGACAGAACATACACCCTACAAGTTGGTGAAAATTCTTTGACAGCCCTGTTTAGAGTCCATTGTTTTGGTGCAGTTCCCGGGTTTCCGTCAACATTATGTCTTGCTGGGACCCCGTATCTATACAGTGCGTGGACTACACTCACTTGCACATAAAATGAGCTTAAATGGACTGAGTATTTTCAGTTTAAAACCCAGTCCTAGTAAACCAAAATTAAACTTGCGGCAAAAACTCATTTCCTTCCCAAAATTCATCTCCAAATGCAATAATTTCGTCATCATGCCAAAAAAATCATACAGCTGCTGTTTAAACATTCGGAACATTACTTCACCAAGTAAACATGGCATTGAGATCAGAATATCTCATTTGATTATTTCTCATAGTTCCAAAATCCCTATTCAAAGATATATATATATAGGTATATACATATACATATACCATATACATAAATATATAGTCGTGGAATAGAAGCCCACCAGATTGCCACATAACTTGCATTGCAGAACGAATTTAGTGGTCTCCTATTGCCTCTGCCATGGCGTTTACCAACGAGAACCATTCAACCAGCGTCCAGATATTGCGACCGGAAAATTGGATAATGCATGCACGTAGTTTTCGACAGTTTATCTATCGGTCCTGTTCTATTTAGCACTGTGCAAATTCGGCTGTCCAATCTTGGTATACTATCAAAACAGCTTATATGTCCCTACGTGGAATCAAATATATACCCAATCCATTGCATCGTTTATGTAATTAACCAGGGATCTGGCCAACTGGAGGCCATGACTAAAAAAAATCCAGAGAACAGCGTTTTTAAAACCGGCCACAATAATTAATTCTATACAGCATTTGCTATCTGTCTTGCCATAACATGACGTCGAATGGAACGGCTCAGCTAGGCTACGCGACCCGAAACCACGTGACAAGATATGTTGAAATGGTGAGAGGGAGCATGAAATGCAATGTTACAAACTGTGGACGTTATGAAGTACGAAGGTTGCGGAAGCTCTCCAGCTTAACAGAAGACCAAATGTATCCTGGGATCTTCCGTGTAACCGTTTAATCCACTCACACGCACATGATAAGGCCAGTGTGTACATCGAAGCTGACAACGTTCAGCTTGATTGCCGATGTTTTTTGCTTATTTCAGAAGGAACGACTTTCAGAGGTTTGGTAGTATTAGCCTCGATAGATTAATACCCTTCCGTGAAACATCACGAGCACTTTGGATGACCCGAAGTGAGTAGGTTATTACTTCGGCATTATCAAGGGAAACGAGTTGATGCTAAGTGATGAGATAATTCAACGCTGCTTGTAGCTTGTGGTATGTTGGCTGTGCTTTCCATCCAGGCACAGTTAAAGTGAACATCATTGTAATGCACAACAACGTCAAGGTTTCCGATTGGCCGCTTGATGGGACCTCAGACATCAGAGCAAAAACAACCCTCAAGTTCAGTGCCAATATGAAAGTCTGGATTGTTAGCTAAGGAGCATCACTTCACGTCTATTTGGTTCAACAAAAAACTCGTAGGCTTGGGTGTTTGAAAAATTTCGCTTTACAAGGTATCCATTTCATCATATGCTAACCGTTTGTTGCAATCATTTAACCCTGCGTTCTAATGGAAATTGTTGGTTTGAGTACATATAGTATGTATGTAATAGTCCATATAAGCTTCTGTTTATATAGCTTGCATTTAGGACAATCGGTGTATTGAGATAAATGATCGATCAGATCCCAAATGGTACTGCTTTTCGAGCTCAAAAATTCAAAATTCAGTAACTTCTGAATGCAAGTCTAAATTTGACATTTGATGCACTTTTACTTTCGTCAATATAGCGGCGAACACATGATTCTCACACCACATATACAACCGCTAGTCCTACCAAACGCTGTTCCTTAGTTTTCCTACAAAACTAGGAACTTTATTCTTGGGTGAGTTGTTAAAGAGCGACTACTCCTCTCTAGGTAGACCAGTTTGGGCGGCATTATACGGTCTGGAAGAATTAGGGAGGCGATTGCTCCGTTTCTACGTTACGCTGCTTGTACTCATCCATATGTTTTCTTTAAAGCCACTTATTCACCCCTTGTGTTGTTCCTCCTAGGTTTGATTCACACGCAGCCGCCACTCGCGCAATTGTAACGATGCACGGCCGCCTTGTGGGAGACCAGTCTTGCAAATGCTCTTGGGGTAAAGAACCCACCTACTCAAGTCGGATGAACAACGTAAGTTCAAGAAGAAAGTATTTGAAACCAAAGAAATTAAGTTTTAGACACATAAATTGCCTTAGTTCCCAGCTTCGCTGATACTGTTCTCATATAGCTAGAACACGGGGCGAGAAGACTCAGTGATCAGAACCCGTGGTTCGCAACAGACCTAACCATCTCGACTTTTTTGTGTTTTGGGCAACCTGTCCCCCCCCTAGTCATCGTGCTTCCGTCAGGTGGCATGGCAGCTAGGCACCGAAAGGTAGTTACAACCGGACGATAGATAAAACACAAACACCCCCGATTCGCTTATTCGCCACGTATCAAATGCTGCACATGGTGCAGTGCAAATCGGTACATCTTGGAGTCCTAGCAACTTGCACAGCAGTAAGTCTAGATTAAAAAGGTATCAGAATATGAGCGGTGAACACTGCAGTCGTCGACACTTCGTTTGAGCTCCCAGTTTAACGTTTTTATTAGCCGTTTCACTCCTACTATTCAAAAATTCTGAGGGTGTAACTGTTGACGCTTAAAGACTAACCGTGAATTCGATAAGACCTCTAATACTATGGCGAAATTCCCATCATTATCTTGTCCCAACATAGCTTTGACAAGACACAACATAACCGGAAGTTATTATCATTCCAAACTCTTTTTTCAGACGTCGCAGCATACTTCCCCCGCTCTATTAGATGGCAACAGCCAGAACTCCAGTATTGCACCGAACTGCGCTTCAAATAAAACTATGAATGATGCTCAATTTTCGCAGCTCGCCACCAATCCACCGTGGAGTTCTTGTGTTAGCCTAAACACAGAACCCTCAATGGCCAATTTCAGTTCTTCTAGCAAACTAAGCTACACGTCTGAAGCTATGAACAGAATGACGAATCGGCCTGATCTGGTCTACGACCTGACAAATTCAGCTTCCCTCAGAACGACAAGCGCCCTAAGACCGACCACTTCCCCTCAACTAGTTGCAGAAAGATACTGGCCAAATAATTGCTACCTGAATGACGCAGATGCCACTTTGCCAAACCTTCTGATTGACCCAAACTCGCCGGTCTCCCTGACAAACGCAAAATCAAGTCTTGCAAATCCACTGATTCAAACAACGCTTGGATTGACGGATAGGTAATGCAAATGCTGAGATAGTAACATTCAACCGTTGTCTGGATTTTTAGGGTAAAGTGTTTCACATTGTTCGAGACGGAATGATTGTGCGGATTTGAGTTTATATGACGACCTGCTGTTATCAGTGTGCTCTTTTTTTGAACTTACTAGCCAACAGCCACCAACAAAATCAATATCCTGTGTTCCTGTGTTATTAAACTTTGGCAAACGTTTCTCTGACAGAGCATTGTGGCTATTGCAACCATCAGAGGTCCGCAGCTCCATTCACTTCCAGGAATGGACCAGTGTTCTTAATTTTCTGGAGCAACAGATGCTATCTTAATGGCATTATTCCAAGAAACAGGCGCCTTGTGCCAATCGCTTCAGACTGCTGTCGTAATCCTCTTCGAGAGAAACTGGGAAAGCCTCAGCCTCGGTCGACTTATGGTTAATCAAACTCTTTGGCGTCCTTCATACTCCATTTTTAGGCTGTGACTTCTATCACAGGGAGACTTTGATACTGGCGCGTACTTCTTTGGATTGATTTGACAAATGTATTCACGTAAAAGGTATGTAATTAAGATGCTCTTACTGGAAATAATGGAAACAGATGTGCATTTTACCACGATTCTACTCCCATTCTCGTGAATGTGTGAAATTCAGTCCCACTTTGGTGAACTTCAACCTGAAAGTTGAAAAATGTCACATGATAGGCTGGGATGAGAAGTAGTGCATATGGAAGACAGTGCGACAAAATCACAGGGGATAACTATGGAACCATGCTGCAGTTTTGTTGAAAGAAATTTTGATCATACATCCTTTAACTATGCCCTGCAATACTACAAATCATCTAGATGTACCTTCATTAAGTGTTCGGATCATATTTTGATGAACGTCTCTCCACTTCAGGTTCAGTAGAGCCTATTCTTTGAGCCATGGCTTCTGGGAACTTACGTACTCGTCGAGCCCGGATCTCAGTCGTTTCGGCATCGAAATAAAGCTCAAAACACTCTCCGGGAAGAGGGAGAGTATCAGACCTGTGTTAAATCTTGACAACGAGCGTTGCTAATAAGGAATTTAGTGCCCAGATTTATGCGTCAGATTTCCGTTAACCAGTGCACTCCCATTTCTCGCATTTTAAGTAAAATGCGAATGCTTTAACCAAGATTGGTCAAACAAAGATAATTCATTATGTTTAATATTTTAGCGTTCAGACCAGTCGGGTCTGAATTTTTTGGGAGTTATTCTGGTCATGAAGGGCTAAAGAACTCCACTAATTATTTTTCTGGAAGGAATACCATCCACAATTAGAAGTAGTTGAGGTCATGTCTGTTCATAGAACTAGCTAGCAGACTGGTAAGTGGTAGGGTGACTTCATCCCAAATTTCCACACATTTTAACGGCGACCGGATGTAGGATGCTGTGAATCCATATACCCTGGGTTTTTTTTTAAATGTCAGTATTAGCATTAAATATATGCTCAACCTGTTGCATATTACTTGAGTCGCCTATATGCAATTGCACCTCATCACACGTCGTAGCTTTTCATACTTTACACTTCCACGTCTTTGCTGCATTTGTGAGGATAGCATGCTATTGGAATTCCGAAAGTCGGTGTACTTTTGTCATACACTATTTTTCTCGACCCTAGTTATAATTCATTCGTCTAACGTCAGTCATGGTGTCCTCTAGCAGCCTAGTGTTTTTTATTACCAAATAGATGAACAAGACGTACGAAGAAGTGGTAGCCAACGGTTCCCATTATCTCAGAATGAAAGCTGAAAGATGCAGGTCGGCGAAGAGGAACAATCTATGCACCACCGGAAGAGTGTACACCATTACCATATTCCTCATTGT